TATTATCAGGAAGGAAAACTATTTAACTGAGCAGTCAGTCATAAAAATTAAATTGGGGAAAAGGGTGGGTAGGTCATGAGAAGAGCTGGTCTAAAATGCTGGGGGTGGTTTTCCTCTACAGAAATGTTGGAGTTTTTAAACTGAAAACTCAACCTGGAAATTTTCAGATGAAGATTTTGTGATTTTCATTTATTTCATTTTGGTGTAGAAAGTAGATGTTGAAGAGGTGGGGTCATTTTGTTGCATAGTTTTGACAAACATTTTGAACAGGCAGAGTCATTAATTGGGAAGGTTCAGTGGATCGCAGCAGCTGTGAGGAGAAGATGGGCCTTATTGATAGGGTGGACTGAGGTGTGGGACTGAGAAGGGAAAGACAAGTAAGATGTGGATGGATTTTACTGTCGAAGAAAAGGAAGTTTTAGGGTGCATCTACACAGCGCCAAATTTCAAAATAAAGCGCAATTTCAAGCCATCCTTTATTCCTCATGAAACAAGGTTTACTGGGATGGGAAAATAGCATGTCCGTTATTTAAAAAAAATGTTTCAAAACAACGTGGCTTTTGTAGATACAAGGCAGCTATTTCGGGATAGCCTTGCAGTGTAGATGAACCCTTAATGAGTTAGAGATACGAATCCAAACTTTTAAGATTTACTAGGTCATACAGTCTATCTCCCTGACTAACTGAGGCCTAACGTACAGTGGTACGTGAAGTCGATGGAAGTTTTGCAGTTAACTTCAGTGGTGCCTGAGCTTTCTCCCTACCGTTTTGCCCGTGCACATTTTGTAATATTGACTCACCATAAATTCTTAATAATGTGTTGCTTTCAGCCACATTGATGTGTATCTGTGAGGGGCATAGGTGATACTTATAGGTTGCTTACAACTGAAACTGTATGCTAGTCATTAGGTCTTAATTTTTCAAACCTGTTTGGATCCCTCATTGGCACTATGATATACCTCTTTCGATTTATGCAAGCCTTCTGAGTTTAACTGGCAACTTGCTTTGCCCATTTACTCAACAGAACCTTGGGAATGTGGAACATATATTATGTCACAAAATATTTCCAAGTCTGAAGTGTTTTTTCAGAAAATTTTTGAAATTATGGAAGGGGAAACTTAGTATTAAAAATACAGAAATATTGCTAGTATAGTGATAATCCAGGAGTTAACTTATTCAGACTGACATATAGCTGAAATTTCCAAATGTTTGAAAGATCTGGCCCCCACATTAATTAATTATTATATTTCACTACGCTGAAAATACGTGTCAAAAAACTGCAAAACGTTTTACTACCAGGTGAGTCATTTATGATTAAGATCTGAAATTTACTAATGCCCTGTATCATTCATCTTCAACAAGCTATTTAAACTTGACTCTGAATGTATGCATCTTATTACAGAAAATACTCAGGTTTATTTCAGCCATTCTCCCTGTCATAAAGAAAATTAAGTATGCAGATTTTTGGTTACAATGTTCTCTTGTCTCCCTCCTCCCCCCCCCCTTGTATACATCTGTTTTAGAAATGAATGTGTGTTTACTAGGAAAATACTGGAAGCAGCAACATTACTGTCTTTGAACATCATGTTTAAAATAGTTTGAAAAAATCATCTACTGTATAGTAGCCCTACAGTCAAATTTAGCCATAATCCGTCAAAGTAATTGGCTTTTGTGAAGTGCTTGCATTTTGCTTCTAAGAGGTCCTGTAAATCTTTTCATGTTTCCCCTTTGTTATTACTAGTTTTGTGTGATCTTTTTAAAAATGTTATACCTTTCCCTTGCCCAATTGTGCTAAAAGTTGTGATCCAGATGGTTCTTTTACCTGGTTCTGAAATGCAGCTTGATATCACAATAACGAGTGCAATGTAGGTAAATTAAATTAAATAAAAATGTATGTGGCCTAGATTGCCAGATCACATTTGGCTTTATCTCAAACACTTACAATTTGAATCGATCCATTTTTCAAGGTCTTTTGTACAACACATCTTTAAGAGGGACAAACCAATCCCCCATGTAGCAATTGCTTTCCCAGTTGGTGAAATGATCATTTTGTAGCATATGTACAAATTTAATTTTATAAACTGCTTTAGAAGAGACACATGCTGTCTAATAAATCCAAGGTATTTAATAATAAATATCCTATGGTGAGAACTACTGTCTGAACCTACTGTCTTTCATGACATTCCTAACTTTTTGACAATGTTGAGCAACAGCTGTTAAACTTCTGAAGAGCTTGTGTGTGTTTGTACATATGGATATATACACACATGTGCTATGATACAGGTTGTGGATCCTCAAAAACCCTTTAAAATGAATACTGACGATATGATAAATATGTTTGCTCCAGCTATTCTTAAAAACAACTGCTCTAAATTTTGGCAGGGAGAGTTGTCTCTAAAAGTCGATTAACTTCTACTTCTTCAGGAAATAATCAATAATGGGTATTAGCTACAGTAAGAAGGATTGTCGTCTCTTACCCATTGACTTATCAAGAAAATCTCTCATAACAAAAGTGTATATTTTGTATCACTAATGGCTATACCTTTCCTCAGATCCAAGGGTATTTAGGAGGGAAAAAACAAACATAGGAGAGATTTAAAAGCGGCAGGGGATAATTTTCTCCTAAAGCTACTTCTATTTTAAGGTCCCTTTACTTGGTGAACAATAAAAGTAAAATACTAAAGAAAACCTCCTGATTGCACATAGGCTTGTTTATGTTGTGCCTCTGAAGAAATGCCAGACATGGGACATACATTGCATTTTCCTTCCCAATTATTTTTGCTTTGATGCTGTACAAGAGAAATTGTGGGTGACAGAAAATGAAAAGCCCCTTCTGTTTTGTTTCCACAGGTGGTTTTTAGTACATAATAGGCAAAGGGGGCTTCTAGAGCATTTTTTCTAAGTTGAAAATACTTCACTTGCTTAAGATTTAATTGCATACTTGCTCGTATAAAAATCCATTATCTGTACAAAAAACAAGAATACATTTGCATTTCATCAGCTATGATTGTGGTTCCATTAGCTGCTACGTGCTGGTTCCTAGGCCATGAGTCATTGTCACATACTGGTGTGATTGTTACTTTTCTCAGCAACTGGATGATACAAACAACCTACAGTAAGCTGCTGAACACATACTGCATCACTCTGCCATGAAACAAGTGAATCATTCTGCAAAGGAAACCTGACTTCCTACCACTTCAGGAAGATTTTCTTTAACAAAAAGGTGGTCTATTGTGATATGAAATAATTAACAATTATTTTCACCTGTTATGAAATAATTAATTAGTTTAGCTGGCCTGGAACAGTTTCTGTAAAATATCTGGTTATTGGCTTTTAAGTAAAGATTTTGTTGATTGTGTTTTAATTAATCATTGAGATAATTTTAATTGTATTAACATGATCTATAGTTGCATCTGAGACAAGCAGAAGGCATGGTTGAAATCCTAATCCCATTGAAGTCAATGGCAAAATTGATATTGATTTCATTAGGGCCAGAATTTCTCTGTGTGTCTATGGTCGTTGTTTGACTTCTTAGTTTGTTGGGGAGTTCCATCACCAGAAACTCAGTAGTAGAAAGAATCCATGTATAGAGGATACTGGGATTACTACACTACAATTGTGTCTGTGATATTTATAGTAATGTGATTTACTGTTTGCCTGAAAATTACTGAATTCAGGGTGAAATTGAATTTAGTTAGCAAATATAGTCAATTCCATTCCAGTTAGATTTGAGGGTGGTTGGTGTGATGTGCAGTATTTTGCAATATGTGGATTTATGTTTTAATAGTCATTACATTTGAGGGAAACTAGAAAAGTGTTTATAAAGACTAGGCATGTAAGAGTGACTTTAAGAAGCATACAGTGTTATCCTCAAAATGTATTTAGCTGTTATTAATCATGCTGAGATGGAAAAATAAATGATGCTGCATTGCTTTGTGTGGTCCTGACAAGATTTGTATTAATAGCACATGTCACTGATTGTGATGCCAAAAGGTATGTACAACCAATCAGATAAACTGCCATTGTAAAGATGTGTGGGCCCCTCCAGACTATCAACTCAAATGATAGAGAGGAACGGGGGAGAAGAGATACCTACCACCTCCAGGAAATATGAGCAGTAATGATCTGGAAATTGGCTTAGTAGTAGCTTTTGGAGTCATTCCATTCATTGTGGTTGTCATCATTATTGTAGTTAAAAGAGATACAGTGCTGAAAATGGTTAGCAGGCTGGTTAATGCAGCTTCTCAAACAAAAGAGGTACAAGTTGCTGCTGCTGCTGCTGATTGTGGTGGTGATTCACAGTACTTCTACGAGGAAGACAGCAGTAGTTCAAAAGAAATGGGGGAAAACTCGGATTCCCTATCCAGCGCATCTTCAAGGCAGGGAATATAGAAATTTTCCTATGTATTGGTATACCTATGTATTGGTACACCTATTGAGACAAATAAGGGAACAAATAATGAGTTCTAATATAAGTATTATATTCAAAGTATATAAACACGAAGGTCATGAAGGTCATGCAATATGGCCTTGGTCCAGATAAGCACATAAACATATGTTTAACTTTGCGCACATTAACTGAACCAATGGGACAATTCTCACGCTTAGAGTTAAGCATGTGCCTGTTTGGAGTCTTTGACATTTAACACCTTGTTGTTATGAAGTTTTAAATTTGTAAATTCTTTGTGCACTGAAAAGTTGTACAGGAAAAAAAAAAGTGAAAAGAGCACAGAAAGTGTGAAAGATGAGAACTAGTCATTAAAATACTCAGTCACTGGAACAGACTGTGAGCTTAAACATATGCAGATCATAAATGCAATTAACATGGTATTTATGTACATTTCTTTTCTTTGTTTAATCATTGTAACTTGGACCTTTTTTGTCATTTATTAAAATTTGTAATTGCGTGTTTTTTGTTCCGGAAAAAAAGTATGATTTCCATTATTTTATAGCATATTGTGATCGATACATCTAAAACTGTATTTTTGTTCTCATTTATAGATGGATGCCTTGTAGACCACCAACCAATCCTGCTACCGCTGCGTGTGTGGCAGCACTTCTACATGATCACATGACTCTTGATATGGACGCGGTCCTGTCAGACTTTGTTCGGTCCACAGGGGCAGAACCAGGTCTGGCAAGAGACCTGCTGGAAGGTAAGCATACCCCATAAGCCTTTAGCACTTTTTCCTCATATTTATTGCTTTCATGCAGTAGTCTGTAAATGGTGAAACAGTCTTTAAAAGTATCTAGTATAGTCTGTTAAATCATTGATTCCTGGATATCTCTGCCAAAAAGCCAATACGTCTGGCAGTTTAATCACACAAGATTATATCAATGCAGCTGTTTTCTGTTACTGTGGTAAAGGTGATGCTCTAGATGATTTATATTCTTACCTAAAAAGTGAGGGGAAAGTCTTTCAACTAGGTTCAGACTCTGTCATTTTGAGCTGCCTGCCATGCTCATTAGTCATCAAAAGAAAGTCTGAGAGTACGAAGGAAAGGTTTCATTAGTTACCTTAATCTTCTAATATGGAAATCCATCCTGAATTTTGTGTCATGTTCGTTAATAGTGAGACTGATGTGGATTGGTTTTGTGTGTCTTCTGATCTGGGCTGGCTGTAGGTGCTGCCAAATGTTAAAGATGTTTTAATGTTATATTTATAAAAAGACTCCCGTGTTAAGGGCCAATATTTGTTTTTCCCTGTATAGTCACATTTCAGCATATACAGAGCACCTACTATTTGTTTGTTTTTTAAATATACTGGTGAATATATCTCCTGGTCACAGTGGCAGATCAGTGTAATAGCAGCTGGGCTTGAATAATATTTAATTTAAAGTTATCTGATGTAATATATTTTCCTTACTCCATGCTTTTTAGATAATAAGGAATGATACGGTGTTAACTCTGAATTGTATATGATGTGGTGTACAGTTTTACAATATGTCATACTTGTTTTGGTTCCCAAGACATCCGTATTACATAAAAATAAGTCCTTAGAACATGCAACTGTGAATGTTATCCTTAGCACTCACTAAATGTAACAAAAGACCTTTGTTTTGTCTGACTGATCTGCCATAATGGGCTGAAGTCCATCATTATCTTTATGACATGGCTGTTCAGCCTGGCTCGCTTGGGGGATGGAAGAACTGTGCCCCCATCTTAGAGAGTCTGTTCATGGAGACGGAGTAAAGTATAGTTAGTCAGGGTGCAGAACTGGGTTCTGATTGAAGAGGACTTGACAGTTCTTTAATACTTTGAATACTAACAGCCCTGTCCAGTGGTAACATTATGAGGCTTTTTGGATGCACAAACCTCTTGCGTGCTAAGCTGACTTGTTCAGGGACAAGGCTCACTAGGTGACATAGGGAATTAAATAGCAAAAATAGCTGAGCTGCTTGTGCATATGGCATGGGACATATGTTTGCCAGTGTCCCACAAGCAGAAATGTCTGTATTCCTTGGGTAGAAGAAAAGTTTAAGAATTTTTGGTTGGTTCTTTCACACATACTTGGAGTTACTCTCACCCACCCCCAACTCCCTTTGTGGGCTGATAGAGGAGTCTCCTTCCTTCCCACTCCATGTTCTCCTAGCGTAAGTGAGGAGTATGTCAGTTGGCAGACGGGGTTATTTTTTCTTTCCTTTGCATCCTTGGTCATCTCCTTCAGAGAGAATTACTCCCCTCAGCTGAGTGCCCGCTGGATCTGTCATTCAATGAGAGGGTTTACAGCCAAATATCTTTGAAAAATGTCTCATTATTATAAATGTTGCATCTGTACAAGGAGGCTTCTTAAATCTATTAGAGGACAAACTTACTTGCATCTTAAGGCTTCCTTTAAAAGGATATGATCACCCCTTTCTTAGCAAAAGGCAGGTGATTTTATTATTTACTGTAGGGGCATAAGGTTGTCTAGAAGCTGGAGTCTGTCTGTCAGAGTGGCAGGATGCGGCTGACTCTCTGCTATCTTTGCTTTGTTTTCCTCACCTGTGACAAGGGGATGTACCTACTTCCTAGGTGTGCTACTGGGCAAAACTGATGTTTGCAATGTGCTTTGTAAATTTCCATCAAAGGCTATATATAAGTAATACTGTTATTGGTTGGGTTGGTGATTTATCTCCATTTGTAGTAGGTGACTAAAGCGATATTGAAAAGACTAACAAAGAAGTTGACAACAAGCAGTTTAATTATTCTTAATGGTCTAATTCATAGTGTTTAACTGCATTAGACAGACACTCCAAATTCTTAGTATTTGCTCTCTCCGGAATTTCCTCAAGCTTATGAAGATAAAATATAATCTTCTGATTTTAAGATATTTTCATAAGGATTTTTCAACACATAAGGATTTGTCAAAATAGATACTATATTAGCAGTTCTCTAATCACATGGTCCAACCCACACATATATGAATTCATTAAAAATCCTTGCTAATGATCTTGCAATTTCATGTGCCAGTTCCTTATTATTCTTGGGTGCCCACCAACAGCCAGATTTGGTCCCATTAAGCTGTTTGGGTTTGACTTTCACCTCAGCTGTGGTATTTCTACTTAAATATATTTATTTCTATTAATCACCCTGCCAGTTTGCTTGCTCCTCATTACCTTTGTTAAAACTGAGGCAAAGTATTTGTTTTAGATAGTGTGCCATGCTGAGATTATCTTTAATCTGCATCCCATCCACAGCATTTAGTGTTTCCACTTTCTTTTTTCCTGGTTTTCTTTTTATTTATATGGCTTTGTAACCTTTTACTGTTAGTTTTAATTTCCTTTGCAAGGTCCACGTCTGCTTGGCTTTTGGCAGTTCTTACTTTTTTCCCCTACCCATTCTGACCTCCAGGAGAGCTTTTCTTACTGATCTTCTATTCCTTGTAGACTTTCTGCTTTCTTTTAATAACCTGTTTGAGATGCGTGCTCATCCAGTTTGTTCTGCAACCCTTTCCCATGAATTTTTTTCCCTTGATTGAGATGCAGGCTTCAGATGGCTTCTGCAACTTTGAATTAAAGCAATTGCAAGTTTCCACCCCATTCAGATCCCTGAGTTCTTCAGTCTGGTCTACTTTCCTAACTAATTCCCTTACTTTGGTTTAAACTGCAGTGGTCCCCAACCTTCTGCGGCTGCTGGGTGCCCAGAGCTTGGGGCGTAAGAATGGCTTGGACCAGCCCTGGTCACTAGGCGGGCGGCATGGTGCCTGTGGGCACCGCATTGTGGACCACTGGTTTAAAGTTTGCCCTTTTCAAAACATGAACCCTAATTGCAGAGTATAGTGAGTCAACATGGCCTCGCGCTGACCCGGAAGGGGAAACACTCCCTAAAAACCCTTTGGGGGCCGATGCTAGAACAACCCAGCCCCACCCACAGGAAGCAGAAAGGCAGGGCAGGAAGTATAAAAGGAGGAGCTCACAGCTGAGTTGGAGTCCGGCTGCCAAGCCAGCCAGATGCTCCACCTGAGCTCCCCAAGAGGAAAGCCCTGCTAACCCGCCTGAGAAGGGAGAACTGGCCTGAGCCGCCAGGGCCCCTGCTAGGCCCAAGAGACAGGGTTGGGCCTCCTGGGCCACTGCCAAACCCACAAGATTGGCCAGGGCCACCCCAGTCATTGACAAGTCCCGAGGACTGGCCTGGATGGCCAGAGCAGCTGCTGGACCCAGGAGATTGGCCTGAGTTGCCTGGACCACTGACTGATCAGGACCCAGAGCCCATAGACATTGTGCCAACCCCATCATCCCCAGTGGCCTCTGAGGAGTCCAGTGGGGACTAGGAAGCGGCCATGGGATAGCTGTCACTGTGTTGGCTGACGAGATGGAGGTCAACTGGTTAACGTGTTGTGGCCAGGATTCCCGTGACCCAGTGGCAGGCCCCGCTGCCCCCCTTTGGGGCCCGGGCTGGGGTGCC